GCACTCTTCTTGCCCTTCCTTTGGAGGTCAGCCTCCGGGTCCTCTGGTACTTCCTCCTCCGTTAGAGGCTGGAGCCTCTTACTAGCCTCGACCAACTCCTCCATTTTCTTTTTGTACGAGGAGGAGGAGGCCTTCAATGCCCGTGCCTCGGCCATCATCTTCTGGATGGTCTTGAAGTCGGGGCGCACTGGCAGCTTCTTGTTAAAGTTGTCTGCAAAGAAGCAAGGAATTAATACAAGTCTTGGGAGTTCGGAATGAAAAGTAAAGACTTCGGTCCTACTACCTTGAGATGCCATTAAATCGTGAGTAATAAAATGGATGTTCTTTCGGATCAGCCTGTGGTAGGACCTCTTCTTTTGAGGCAGCTGATAAGTGACACAAATGGTGTCGAAGTCCTCCGTTGACAGCTCGCACCGAGGAAGAGAACCTACAAAGGAAACATAACTGTTAGACACAATTCGAACTGAAGAGAAATAAAAGAAGCAACTATTACTATACTCACTAAGTGTTGAAAACTTCGTTGGAACTGTAAGAGGCGCCAGGGGGTCTCCCTCCATCGTGTCCCATCGCCCTGCTGCCCAGCACCATGAGCTCTTCCATTCTTTGATGGAGCTCGGCAGATCGACCACGAATGGAGTGTGGGAACCCTATGACGTAAGGTAATACCACCCTCGGGTCTTATTCCCCTCGGCAGTAACCTTGGGAATATAGAGGGTCTGGAAAACGGAAAGGGGCATCTCCACCCCTAATGACGTCTCTTTCCACAACATCCAGGAGCCCACCATCTGGCTCCAGGAGTTCGTATTGAGCTGCGTCGGGGCTAGCCCATATGACCTAAGCACTAACCTAAAGAATGGGTGAACGGGCAGCCTAAGTCCGGCCCTAAGGATCGCCTAAGTAATGGCCACACAGCCTGGCCTAGGGTAGCAGGCTTTCTCTTCCAGCCCCGGGAGGATCAAGTCTATGCTGTCAGAGATCCTATACTCTGTCCTAAATCTCCCCAGGTCGGCCTCCCTTAATTTTGATGGGTAGTCCGACGCCCCCAATGCACAGAGGTATCTGGTGGGCTATCCGGTCGTTTGCATATGTTCTCCCCCCCATTATTGCCTCGGCTATTTCTGAGGAGGTTGCCATAATGGGCTCGTCCACTCTCACTATTTCTAAACCCCTCCCCAAACCAAAACTCCCCTCTGAGGCCATTCTTTAAAAATTTAAAAGCTTAAATAGGTACTAAAACTTACGGGTTTGGAGGTTTTCCTAGCCGAAAATGGTGTAAGGTCGCCGGAAGTCTAGTTTTTCTCGTCGAAATTGCTTGCAAAACGTCGAAAATCGCCAAAAATTCGAGAGCAAAGTATAATCTTAGTTTTGCAAGGGTAGAAAGCCTGAGAAAACCCCAGAGTCCTCCTTTTATAGAAAAACAAATCCGATCTCCATCGTTGAATTCAGATGCGATCAATCTAAGCCGTTCATCGCATCCTCAATCTAGGCCATTGAAATGAAACGTCAGATTTGATCTACGCCCAAGATGTCACTGTGACTTTCACGCTTGCTTGAAACGCGTCACCTCGATTACAACCAGCCGTCAATAATAATTAGTAGCCGCAGCAGCCTTTTAGGAGAATGGGCATGACACCCAATTGTCACCTTGAAAACACGCAACAGTTGTCAAATCATTTGACGTTTGAGTCGCCTTGGATTGAGCTCCTCCTCTAATTTTACAAAACTTGGATGCACCTGACGCGAAGGCCCTTTTGGGTCATCATCTCGGACACTGCCTTTCCTCCCATGCTTTACAAAGTTTCAGCCATCTCCCAACGCGTCAACCTTTTGGGTCAGTGCACCGGTGGCAGATGAGCTCCTCCTTCAACTTTACAAAGCTTGGACGCACCTGACGCGAAGGTCCTTTTGGGTCATCGCCTCGGACGCTGCGTTTCCTCCCATGCTTTACAAAGTTTCAGCCATCTCCCAACGCGTCGACCTTTTGGGCCAGCGCACCGATGGCAGATGAGCTCCTCCTTCAACTTTACAAAGCTTAGACGCACTTGACTCGAAGGCCCTTTTGGGTCATCGTCTCGGACGCCGCATTTCCTCCCATGCTTTACAAAGTTTCAGCCATCTCCCAACGCGTCGACCTTTTGGGCCAGCGCACCGGTGGCAGATGAGCTTCTCCTTCAACTTTTAAAAACTTGGACGCACCTGACGCGAAGGCCCTTTTAGGTCATCGCCTCGGACGCGGCGTTTTTTCCCATGCTTTACAAAGTTTCAGCCATCTCCCAACGCGTCGACCTTTTGGGTCAGCGCATCGGTGGCAGATGAGCTCCTCTTTCAACTTTACAAAGTTTGGACACACCTGACGCGAAGGCCCTTTTGGGTTATCGTCTCGGACGCCGCGTTACCTCCCATGCTTTACAAAGTTTCAGCAATCTCCCAACGCGTCGGTCTGTGGGGTCAGCGCACCATATTCGTGAAGCTTCAATGCACCTTACGCGATGTTCCATGCTGGTTGACCGCCTCGTACGCTACGCACAATAACGAAACTTTGGCACGTCTGCCTGTTATCATAACCTCGATTGCTGCAACAGATCAATCCCCAAAACTCCCATCACTTGCGGTCCGGTCAGGAAAGCAAGTCCACGCATGATATAAATATTCATCCCCGGACTTGGGGGACCACTGTTACGCTCCGATTTTACACGCCTCGGATACCGAAGTGTCATCTCGTCTCCGAGGTCGAGATCAAGTGGACCCCGGTTAGAAGATCCGTCGCCAATTTGAGATTTGTCCTGCACCTAAGGTTTAAATTGATTTGATGTCTCCATAAGACTAGTTGATGTGACTTATCAACTTTATGTGAATTCAATTCAGAAGAAACAAACTGTCCGCCCACTCTACAAACGCGGCTGATTGACGCCTATGAGCAGACGTTTCATACCGTCAAATGTATACACGCGTTCCACATCCAACGGTTCATACCACCTATAAATACCAAAGGTTTGGCAAGAGGCAAAGGTAATGAAACTCTTACTACATAGCACTCTATAGCAAGTTTATATATTTTCTCCTCCCCCTTTATTGTTGATTTGCATAGCCCCTGGGTATTCTTCCGATCACCCAAACCTGACTTGACCGTCGGAGTGTATACGGCCGCCACCACCCTCGTTAGTTCCGGCCGTGTGCGCCTGACTATTCGCTGATTATGCGCAGGGAGGAATACGTGAAGTAGCTTTCAGTTGGCCACGTGGAAGGACCAATTTCCGGGGTCAACACCCATCACTTGATTTATTATTATATTATTGAGTAATCAATGGCGTCACTTGTTTCTAAGCAAAGAATCTAGCGTCTACGTGAATTGTTTCAGTGAAGTACTCACGAGTTTGAGTCTTACCCGCCAACTGTTCGATTTATTGCCTCGGGAGGGTGATCCTGTTAAATGGTATAATTGCCTTTTAGATTGCGAGATTTTGGAGCGGGCAAAGGTGATGGCTCAATTTCATATGGATTGGCCATCAAATCTGGTTGATTTTAATCACAAAGTCAAGAAATTTTACACTTTTGATCACCGTGCGGCAAAAACTATAGTTGCACCCAATTCAAATATGGCATGTACTGATTTAATTGTTTTAGATTTTCTAGTTGATGGAGCGAGCAAAGAATGGAGAGTTCAATTCCAATTTCTGGTGCCAAATGCATTATGTATCCTATAAAATAGCGCAGGTATGTCAGATTGGTGATTCATCAACTGGACCAATTAGTCCTTTTTTCTATGATGTTGTTCGATATTCTCATCTTAAAAGGTTGATGTGATTCCTGTTATTACTGCAGTCTTGGAAAAATAAGATGATTATTTAACTTATTCTACAGTTCAGGTCGGATTTGAAAAATGGGGGGAATAGTTCTGTTGCCAGTTGAGTTTTTGCTACACGTGCAGAAATTGCAGTTTTGATTATGAGCATTGTTATTTTACATGGAAAGTTGGTTCATGTAGGATTATTAAGTATCAACAGCAAAACAATGATCAAATCATTGGTGGGGAGCATTTAAACAATGTGATTCTCTTACCCGCGTCGGTCTGTGTGTTATGTTGGATTTGACGTGATCAAGAAAAATAGTAGTTGAAATTGTCCATTGTCCAGTGCAGCACCACCCAATACTTTGTACAAAACTTGCCATACTTTTGTTTTCCTTGAAACACACGTCTACAACTAGTTTTTGGTTTTACCTGTGGGCATTTATGCCTTGTAATGATTGACTTCTTTTTTGCAGGTCATTCACTGCTAAATCTTTGAATTATTACTATCGTAGCTTGCAGGCATACCGATTGTTTTCTTCGTCCAATCTGTCAGAAAATTAAGTGTTCCCATTATTGGTTAGTTGCAGACTGATATATGAAGACAATGATTTGATTGATTCTGAAGCTGGTACAAGAGAATCTGAAAGCAAATGTATACTGATTTCAACAGCACTCCAGCAACTGTCCTATGAACTTTTGCCTACCTGGAGAATCTAAATGGGCAGCTATAAAAATGGTAGAACTGAATCTTTGAAAATCTAATTCTCATCGTTAATATTTCATCTTGATTCAGAATTGTTTGTACAAAAATATGATGATTTTAGCTTTGTAGCCAATACACTGCTTTTAGTTTTCTCCTTCTCTTAGGAGTTTATTTTCTAATTTTCAGAAGTTATATCCAATTCTCAAGTACACATGCATTTATGTAGAATTTGGCATTTTATATAGTCTACCAAATTGAATAATCTGTTTGAGCATACAACCAAAATATCCACAAATTTTCGTTTTTGCTGAAATTTTGTTGTGTTTTCCACCAATAGAAAAGCCTAAGTATCTTGTTATATCATTTTCTAAATCATTTTGAAAAGATTGTTTCTTTATCTCATGTCCATTACCAGATGTATTTGATCCTGAATTAAGCATGGGATCTTCATACCTTAGTATGAAATGTTTGGCAGCTAATAATGTTGGTTATATACTCGTAAAAAGAAAACTCATAATCTTAGTAATGGATTTGTTGTATAATCTGATATATACTACGAAAATATTCTTCAATATTTCACTAAGCAATGGTGTGAAAGGGGTCAGCATAACCATGCCAACCGCACAAATGAATACACCATATATAATATACCTTGACCATACTCAACATGAATCAGTATCTTTGTGAATCTTGTTTCTCAATGGCTTTCCCTGTAAACATTGAATGGGAGGGACAGTAGGAGAATAGAGCTCTCCGAAAGTCTGCCAACAGTACGGGTCATACATATGGTAGTGTTCTTGCAGTGGCTTCAACTGTATGCCAGTAAGGGTCACCCCCGTGCATGGCATGCTATCACTACACGCAAAGTGCACTGGTTTTACTGTGTATGTTCCTCTTATATTTGCATAATTAATCCCTGATAGAGCCACAGCGGATGTTTGATTACTGCATTTTCTTTTATCACAATAGAATTGATCAATTACAATTGGAAGTTGGACTTCAGAAACTTGAATGTTTGAAAATTGCACTCCTTGCACAGAACCTGAACCTCCCTAAGAAAGCAACATTGGTATTAACAAAAAGGTATGTCCAAATCTATTAGTTGATAACTTATGGAACTGAAGAATTGTGAATGGGTGTTTCAATTAGGGTGATTTGCAGATAATATGTTTACCTGCCATGTCTTTATCCTGACACCATTCATGGTATTATGCATATTGATGTCTCGGACAGTGATATTTGAGACACAAGCTTTGGTGTTGTCTTTTCCTAGCCCTCCAATGCTGATTCCATGTCCCGGTCCACAATTAACATTATGTATGTATACATTTGTGCATCCAGTTTGTATTGATACACAGTCATCCCCTGCACATAATATAAAATGTTAAATGGATTCCAAACTTGATGTTTAAGTGCTTATTTATCTCACTAGTCAACGCTGCTCTGATTGGTTTAATAGTGTTTACTGCTGCTTTAGAGAATCACTGGAAAAATGGTTTTAGTTTTGATAGACGACTACTGGAAGTTGATGAATTATAGGACAAAAGAAATTTGTCCCCACCACATTGCGTTTCACAAGCAGTTCTTCTGAGATCTGTCTTTCACCATTTAGGACATGACAAGGATGAGCTTGTGGCCAACAGATGTGTGCAACAAATTAACAGTGGATGTGTCAAAATGTAATTTGCTTGATTTTGATGGATGTGGTTAATATAGGTAGGATAAGATTGCAGCACAGGTTCAGAATTTGGTTTAATTCCTTGCTAAATTGGATGCTTTTACGTGTCACAATTTGAATACCACAGCCAAAACTTTGTCCTATGCATCCCAATTATTTCAATATATAATCTATAGTGTTTATGTAATACCATCAAGCACAATGGCACATTATATTTCTTGATTCTTCAATCTTGGGACTTCAGAATTATAAAAGCAATTTTTTCTGTCAAACTGGAGAAGGGAAAAGGATGAATTTCTAAATAGTTATTTACCACAAGCAAGGTTGGAACTTCGGATAAGCACGTCTTTGGAGTTTTGCAGGTGAATTCCATCTGTATTCGGGCTGTCACCAGGAGATGAGACGCTAAAATTGTACACTGACACCCCAACGCAATTATCGAATTTGAGGTGGCATTGAGGACTGTTTTGAATTGTGATGCCAGTGACTGTCGCATTAAAACTCCCATAGAATCTTAGTGCCTGGTGTTGCAAGAATAGTTATTATACTCTTTTAATTAGTAAGACCAGAAAATGCATTTTGATGTTTTGATAGCTTGAAGTGATACTCACTGTCGGCTTAATGCTTGGCATTTTCCCGCCAAGTGAGCCTCTCAACTGCCACATGAACTTTATAAGGTAAGTCAGGTAATGGAGAAGCTATTGTTGTGAGCATATTTGGCTAAGCTTAAAAAAAGATACTTATCATAAGTACCTTTTTTCTTACTTAAATTCCTTTTATGTTAAAAAGTTCACATATTTTGAAAGTGATCTTACTGTCTAAATAAGTAACTTATTTTCAATTTTGATGAATTAAGAAAATATTAACTATATAACTTGTTTATTTATAAGTAGACTTTTTCAGCTTAGCCAAATATGCTCAAGGGAATGAGAGGTAGGAGAAAATGTTACAGGAATTGGAGGTTTTTCTGTGACTGTTCTGTTTATTGGAACAATTAATTTTGATTCATCATCTATAGGATCATCATAGGGGGAATCTTGCCACCAAACAGCACCGCTCCCATCGATCGTGCCACTTCCCTTGATTGTAATTCCTACAAGTTTTGTGAATTCAAGCCATTGTAGAAGACCTGAACCCCAAGCTTTTGAGCTTGTTGGAGCAACAATTTTTCCATCTAACTGCAGATGAATAAATTTACAAGCCTCAATAAATTTTGTTGTCTCTGATCACATTTTACTTAGTCTCAATGCTCAGTACAATGTTATTTTGCCAATATTCATCAGTTTTGCACATGCAGATTTCTTAATAATCAAGAAAAAATTCATATTATTAACAAACTAAATTCATAGATTTCTGCAGTTAAAAACTGTGTGTACTTACCTGGAAAACAATATTGTGTTGACAGTATGGACCAGAGAATGAAATGGGTCCCACAAGGAATATATATCCTGATGGTACATTAATTGTTGAAGCCTCCACTTTACAAGCAGTTGCCCATGTAGCTTGGAATGCCTGCAGTTCTCCACAGCCATTGAATATCATTGTCAGTTGGAATATTTTATCTTGATTTTTATTCACAGCTGATAATTGGAGAAAGGAAAATAAAACAAAAAGTAAATTCAGAAATTTGATCTTATATATCCCATAAGTTAATTGATTTTATGGTGTCAAACAATGCTCTAATTATTTATTTATTTGATTAAGTAGGGAATATTTAGTATTTAGAGCTGTACAGTTGTTAATTTGTCTAGGACTGTTTGTTTTTATTAGTGGAATCAGGAATAAACTTCCTTAACAAGAATCATTTGGGTGGACCAAATGATTTTTTTTGTCCAATCCTCTTGGCAGTTTGGTTGTCCCTCCTTACTTGTGTGCTTTCTTTTGTTGAGTTGCTAAATTTTATGGACTATAAGGCATTTAATATTTAAAAAATGGTTTTTCCCCAAATTTATTTGAAATGGAGGCTGGTTTTCTGCAATTGTAATTCCTCCAGTTGCTTTAGAATCTTGAAAATTGGGACATGTTTTTTTATGATTTTAATCCTCTATGAAATCTAAGTTCAATGCCACGAATCCCGTTACATGGATTGTAGGATTTTTACTGTATGGATACAGGGGAATTTGTAGCAAGTTGCATTAGCCGAATTCTGAAAACTTTATAGAAAGAAAAATAAGAATTGTACAAATTTATGAGGAAATAAAACTTTGGAGTTACCAATGTTGTCCTGTATCTTGTCCAGTTTGTTAATGTCAGATAAAATTTAATAATTGCAGGGAACCAGAGGGAAAAGTTCAACCAAGTACAAAAAAAGGGATTGTTGCAAGTTTCCTACTGTTAGCTCATGACTTGAGTAGAAATTAGAGTTACCTTGGTATCATCTGACCTTCCATCCCCCTTGGCACCAAAATGCAGCACGTTAAAGACAGTGGAAGGAGGTGATTTGTCTACACCTTTCTCTGGCGGGGTTACTGGTGGAGCTTTTTTCGACCCTGAGCCTCGTGGTGGCAATGGCGGTGGTGATGGAACTTTCTGTTTGGACTTACCACCATTGCTGTTGTGGTGATTGCTCCCATGATTTTTCCCTTTCTTCTTGAATAGAGAATCCGAGGCTCTTCGATTTTTCCTCCAATGCCTGCCTACTCTTCTTGCACTGCAAATTTCAACATTGGAACTCCAAATAAGAAGAACAATGATAAGCATGAATGTGAGGCTTCTTAAACTAAAACCACCCATGTTTATTGTGTGGAGACAGAACGGTGGAGGATAATGGCTTGGTGGCGGTGGCGGTAGGGTGGTTGTGGTGGTGGGGGGGTGTTATGTTTTCTATGATGATAGCCAACAGAGGAACTGCATGGAGGTTTATATAACAAATATTACTTGAAAAGTTAGTGAAACTGTGCATGACATGAGGAAAGATTGGTGATGTTTCATTCTCCTTTATTAGTTGTTTTCCTTTCCTTTATGTGAATGAAATCATTAGATATCTACTACTTGTAAATTAGTATGGGTGGTATGTGCATGCCCATAGATTAAGTCCTTATTTGCCCCCCTTTTAAAATTCATTTTCAACCACAAATCGTATAAAAGATCTACAACTTTTATTAACTCTTTAACTGCACATTTCATTGACTTTTATCAAAAGTTATAATAAATCTAATTATTTTCAAAACCCAGCAGGGGATAAGTAGACTTCTCAGTTGTCCTTGAACAAAGATATATACACTATCAAATAATATATGATTATTTTTTTTTAAAATTTATTTCTATCGTATTCAATCATTGGCCATTTACAACAATATGTAAAGTGAACAATTAATGAATTGGCTTGAATGTGAGACGGGGTATCAAAAATATAACTATGTTCATGTTTGGTGAGAAATAAAATTAGATTTTTAATAGATTTTGATAAAAGTTGATAATATTTATGGTTGAAAAGTTATGGATCCATGATATATGTTATTAAAATTAATTGTTGATTTTGACTAGAATTAAAATTTTACCAAATATGAACTAAAAATATATATATATATATACACACACTATAGTTAATAGTTATTATCATAATGCAAAAGCCAAAAAGACACGTGAGTGGGTCTATAAATTGTCAAGACGCAAGAGCAGTGACTACAACAGGTCGATTATGGTCACATGCAACATTCACGGGTTTTACTTTTGTACTTATCTTCTAAACCAGCAGCGGAAACTTGAGAGTCAAATCCCACTTAGATTTATTCTCTCTCTCTCTCTCTTCCCTTTTTTCCCCAATTTTCTTGGGTATATCGATCACATAGCTTTTTTTGTGAAACTCGATTAAGGGAATGATCATTGTTGCTTCTTCTATCTCAGATCAGTGTGGAAGCTGGGACTCGAATTCAGTAAATACCTAATTTCTGATCCGAAAACAGAGCGACATCTTATTTGTTTTTACGATATGATAATAGTGGTCTTTTTCTTAAATATAATTGGTACAGATAGAATTACACGCTAACATAGTTCAATTTTGTTTATATTATTCCATGTTAAAAACAAATAAAAATTTAGTTCTCCGAGGACACGTGTTCAATTTTTTTAATGATATATTAGAAGTATAAATAATCAAATCTATAATAGTTTTTTAATAATTTATTTGTCATTTGGATTGGCCTTCATTTTGACCACTATCAATGAATATAATTCAGATACTTGGACGTTAGAGAATTTTGTACATGCTCGTGAACAATCGTTTGGTTATGGTCCCTTTTGTCCCACAAAATTATGACATCACAATTTTTTTTTTTTTTTAATCACTTTATGAAAATGATTGGCATGCTTGGTAGGATTATAATTAAGTATTGCTAATCTATTTACTTTATCAAAAGTGTATCATAAATAGAGAATACATGATTATGAATTTTAGTAATACGCTTGTTCTTAATTCTTGAGACAAATCTTTACTGGTCGAGGATGACATTATATGTCAAGAGATTTATCTTTTCAATTTGTGTCGACTTCTGATATAAGTCTTGTATAGGGGCATATTGTTATGACTAGAACTCACAATGTAGATTGCCTTTTAATTAACACCTTTTATTTGGCTTATAGTGTAGTTCCAAGGGGCGTAGGCCTTCCAAAAGGTAATGAAGGCGTATAAAGATATCCTCGAGCCAGATGGAGTTTGCTCCTGTAGTCCGAGTGTAGAAGAGAGCTTGACTATAAGACCATCCATCGAACATGCACAAAAGTCGACCTCAGTTATCTAACAACAAATTAAATTATTCCAAATGGTGATAATTAAATTACGAAAAGTAAAATTAAAACAAGCACATTTGTGTTATTAGTGATCTTTATTCACCTCAAATCATTTCATTGGTAATACACTTACAAAAATTGGTCAATAATCCTAGATAAATGTGATCGGATCAATAATTATTTAAAAGTATGAAAAAGTAATAATTTAAAAATAAAAATAAAAAATTACTTGAAAATAACTTTTACTTCTAAAACTCTCCAATTCAACCATTTTCACTGTTTCCAAGTATCACATTTAGCTTCCAAAAGGTTAATTACGCCATTAAAGTTTTGAGTAATTAATAGTCATAGACGTTATTTTCTGACAGTAATAGTTAGTCAAATTTTTAATATTTACAAAAATTGTTATTGATGAAAAAAAAATATTGAGGTTAAATCCTACACGACACTATAAATGTAAATGTGTCACCAAATGACATTATTCATTACCATAAGTTAGCAAAGTCATTATTAAAGTAAAAGAGCATGTGTTTGCCGTGCAATATAAGCCGAAAAGATGGATTATTTTTTCATTTGAACATGTTTAATTCCTAATTTTGTTGACTTAATGTATAAATGATGTCGTTTTTTTGAATGACTATCACAGTAAAAAAATAACTTCAATAACTATTGACACGATTAATCGAAATTTCAATGCCCATTACCAAAGGGATACATATAATATTATCATTTCCATTATACTGTTGTTGAGCATGTGAAATTTCAGTTGAGGGATACATATAATATTATCATTTCCATTATATTGGTGATTTTAGGACAACAAATTTCTTGTCATTTTTTTGTCTGTATGTATGAGTACATGTAGTGCTTCACCAATACAAGAATCCATAAAGAATTCACGGATTTCTTTTGCTTTGAGGACCAAACCAAATATTATTATTTTATATCTCCTACATTACCAATAGTGCAGGCTATGTTGCACATGAAACCCTAATCAAGACATTATTGTACAACGTTGACAGATATCCTATGTAGTCACGTATATAATAGGTTAATGTTGTTACATACTTTAATGTTTGTATACTTAGGTAGAATGTTTTAGAATCGTTCATCTTTGTGTATGACTGTTTTATGGATAATGAAGAGTGTTTATGTAACGTATTTAAGTGACGTGAGCTTTAGTATACTCCTGTATAGAGTTTGTGTGCGACATGTAATGTGTGTAATGCTATTGATTAAGTCTTAATTTCTAATTCGGCGATGAAAGATAAATATAAAAGCATAAGAAAATAAGTAAAGTGTACACAGATTTATAATGATTCACATTCAATACGAGTGTTATGTCCACTTATCCTACAAGTTTCAATATGGTAAAAAATATATATATATTCAGTTTTTCTCATGAGAAAGTTAGGGTTTCAAACTCCAACATTCGAATCAGTGCAATAATAGACTCACAAGTCTTTAACCTTAGAAAACGAAGGCACTTGTCATCTCCTCTTTTGACTTATTTTCAAAATAAATTCTTGGTATTGTTACCAAGAATTCACAATCAGCTATGTGACGCGTACTTCGAAATGAAAATTCATTAAATGATAAACTTAAAATAACCGTCCAAAGATTACAACTTAAAACGAGTTTAATAATATTCATTCCCACTAATGTACGTCAATGTCAAATTCACTAAAAATATATTTGACTTTAATTGAGAATCGTCTAACATGAATATAAAGTATGATGATTTTCTGTATTACAAGTTGGATATTGTTATTTTTTAACAGAATTTGTGAGTTAAAAATTTGAGATTGTTAGTTGAATTTGTATATTTTAATTCTTGGTATCAGAGCCGACCCTAAACCAAAGCCACTAAGGCAATGGCTTAGGGCCTCCAAAGTCGGGGCTTCAAGCATTATTTTTACCTGTTTAGTTTAATATTTAAAGCCTTTCAATAATTCCTTTGTACAAACTCTTCATTTAAAATAAATATGCTATCTATTTAAATATTTAATATTGCTACGCTTGTAAAAAATTATGAAAGTCTAGAATCTCAAAATTTCTAGTGCCTACCTTGCTTGGTATTGATATAGAGTCAATGAGTCAATATAGATAATTCAATCATTTGAGAAACTATAAATTGGATCTAAGTAGTATTTAAGGTAAACATTACAAGGTTTTTGTATTTATGTTGTCTTTTAGGTTAATATATTTTACTAAATACACCTCGTCGAGCTCCATTTTCATCATCTCAATTTTGTTGCACTGTCGAAGCTCTTCTAAAAAAAGTTGTGGTGGAGGTGGTGGTGTTATACTAACGTTTGTCAACTAAGGACTTTAATGCACAAGCATGAATAGGTTGACAATTATGTATGTTCACATTTTTAGATGTTGAAGACTCGTATTCACACTTTTTTAAGGTTGGGAACTCCAATCTTAATTGTCCCTTTACTCTCGCCTAGCCCCCGACCTCGAATAAATATTCATTTAGTACAAATTTGACAGTAAGTTGATATACAATTTCCCAATAAGAAGAGACAATATATGTACAATTCCTTGAAGCTACTTAAAAGTCAACATGATGTTCCTTGGTCTACTGATCAAGATATTGGACATATCATCAAAGAAAATGTACCTATAATCACAGAAAGCCATTGGACGAATTCTTTAGCGTACTTGTCTCTCAAAATGAACTTCGATCTGGGATTGCGATTTGGCAATTTTTTATTGGTTATTCTAAAGAGGTAATTAGGTCATGGGCCTTTCTTCTTCTTCATTTTTTTTTCTCTGAATTTTCATTATCACTAGATTTTTTTAACATTTTAAAATTACTAATTAATATTGCGCAATCACCTTTTTTAAACACTATTTATCTCAATTAATGTATAACATTCTAACCATTTTTCACTATTTATCTAGGATCTAATTTAATCTTACTGTCACGTCATCGGTGCTTAGGAGATCATTTCCCTATATATATTCACACGATAAACTCTTTTCTTTAATCATATCCTTCAATTTATTTATTTTGACACCAAATTAACTTATTTCACCTCTGTATGTTTTCATTCTCACCATTAATTTGATCAAATTTTGACACCGGATGTTAGTCTAATTTGTTAACCTGAATTGTGAAATCTTCAGGTTATTTATAGGCTATTTATGTCTCCCTTTAGATTTAGTTCATTGTTAATTAAGCCCTTTTGGCTTCCATTTTCTTTCTCATCTTTTTTCTCTCTCTTATTTTTAACCATACAACATTCCATAAAATAATATTACATGCAAATCAAAAACTTTTCATTCTTTTTCAACCACACATTTTTCAAAAAATAATTCTATTCCAATCATTAAAATTTGGATAGAATGGAGGCCAAACGGGGGCTTAATTTTATTTTATTATTATTTTTTAACAAAAATAGGACCCCCCAGGTTATTAATCAAGATTGATAATTAACCATTATTTTATTATTATTATTATTTTATTATTATTATTATTATTTTTTAGAATTTGAATTTCCCATCTTCCCTAATTGCGCCACAGCAATCCAGCAAATCTTGTAAAATCAAAGAAATCTATGTAATTTTATTTTATTTTTAAAGTAAAAATCAGAAGAGGTTAAAAAAGTAGTTTATATATGCGAAGAAGCTCTCTCAAGAATGTCATTCGTAACCTTTTCTTGTCCGCTTTGCACTGGAGCAGTGGTCCACTTTGTATAGTCATAACGGGAGCTGGGGGACCATGTACCCAATCGTGCTTTCAACTTAATTTATTTGAATAATTTTAATTTATGGTAGGTTAAATTTATTGCTGGATGCATGAGCATTTCGGGTTGATATGCACGTTTGGAAATGTTTATAAGGAGCTTTTAAGCAATTTCAACCAAGTTCTTGATACTGTTTACGAGATATTTTTTTATTTTATTTTTTGGTCCCAGAGATATGTTGGATTGTAATCTGCGTAAGAAGCAAAAAGAGTACATGGTTGAGAGGCCTTAAGAGTACATTATCGGTATTCTTCAAAATTCTTCCATTCCGTATTCAAAGTGGTACACTTTTATTTGTAACTAGTCATCGTGCATGCTACTTTTAGATTTCTACAAGTTACGTAAAATTGTTATTTTTCTATGAAATTGAAATATTCATTAGTCAACTATAGCTACTTTTTCCAATTCATAATCGAGGATCACGTCAATAAACATAGAAGCTTGCATCAGTTGATTACTATTAGTTGGGAAAAAAATAATTAAACAAATTATAATTTGTTGAGACATTTGCAATAATTTTGATCTTCATAGTGATAATACCAATGCTTTATATTAAATACATTTAAAACTTTACTTCACTAATGCTTCAATATTAGCTCTTAATAACTTGCCTTTTTTAATCTTCTAAATCTGTACAGCCTTCTTAACAAGTTTTCCTCTTCGACTTATTCTTCGTACTCAACTGATTGGCTTGCAAATCAAGGACTGAATCGTAAGATACATGGTTTGGTGACATTGAAACATTCGAATATGCAAAGTTAAAATATTGACATTTCTAGATTTGATCAATCGCTATTTAAAATAATACAATACAATGATTTTTCTTATCTGAATCACCACATATAATGATCGATTGTAATTCCATATTTATTGCTTTCAAATTATCGTTATATAGTCACTTACCCTTTCTGCTTATATTCTAATTTTGAGGGTGTTTGCTAAAGATTCAAATTAGATTTTTAGTAGATTTTAATAAAAGTTTTTGAAATATGTGATTAAAAAGTTATGGGACTCATAAAAGATGTACTTAATATTAATAGTTTGACTTTGACTTAGATTAAAATCAGATTTTAATCCGAACCAAACATGGGCAAATTATCTATAATACAGGATTCGGAATCTAACTCCATAAAGTCTGAGAGGATGGTGTTTTGCTTATAAAAAATCAAGTGAATACAAAAATAATTATGAAAGAGTTTCATTTTTTTTTTTCGCTTATCTTGTACATGGCTTCTTAAGCCTATTTATAGGCTTGTACAGCATTCTTACATTTTATAAAAACAAAGACTTGCGTACGTTATATATACTAACGAAAGACAATACATGATATAGATCAAGCACTTAGAACATTGTATTCTATAACTATGTGTTATTAAATTCAAAGTAATCAGGGTATTATTAGAATAGCCTAAATATTTCTTTAGATAGAGTCATCCATAAAATCCTTTCTCATTTCATGTGACTTTTGATATATTAAAGAAATGATAGTTCCTTTTCCAAATGACTAAAGAAGTACAATCATTCAAATATTTGTCACTTTTAGAAGTGTAAAAATGTGTTGAACTAAAACCTAAGCATGCCGGCTCGGTGAAGCCCCGCCCGCTGGGGCGCACTATTTCCCATTCAACAAAGGCTATTTAGGTACCTCATTAGGGGACCAGTGCTCCATTTAATATCACCATGAAGAATGTGGGACCAAAGAAATGCAGAATTAGATTGTTTGTTCAATGATGATAGGCTTGGCCTTAGCCACGAGCGTCAAAACTAATCCTTAGAAACATCTATCGGACCCGACATCCTTAATTCTCTTATCTTTTTTAAAGATGAGGCCAATCTCTTGTTTGGATTTCTTGTGCTTTTTTGGCCCTTCACTTAGATATCTGTGGATAACAATTCCTATACCATCCACCCCTACATATTCCAAAAATTATTGGTTCTAAATATCTTTTAACTTTTCATCATTTGTTTGCATTCATTATCTTAATTTTCTATTCTTAAAACTTTCTTACAACACAAAATCCTAGTTATGTACGAGAAAACAGAGATGTACCAGCACTCTTTTCCCTGTTTGCATTGCCACCCTCATTCTTACATCAGAATGGTACCAATATATCTTCATGTTCTATGGATTTTACCATTCTTTATTTGTCTCTATAGTTCTTGATTATTAATTCATTTATAATAATATGTTAAATAAATCTTGATCATGAATACTCTTGGGTGCATTTATTTGTAAATTTAATACAGGTACAAAATCTCATTGAGAGGTGCTTGTTACTTCGTATGGATCAAGACCAATGCATCAAGGCATTAGCAGAATATGCAAGAATTCGGCCCGTCGTAACACTCACAGGTATAACACTTCTTAGTTTCACTTTAGCTCTTAGTAAATTGTAACGTTAGTGATAATCATCGTCCTCGCGATGATTTGCCCAAAAAAATGTGCGCAAGGACATGCTCATATATTTTTCTCATGCGTGTTCTCATTCGCCCTACGATCATTTCTACCGACTTCTAATGATGGATTCATATGCAGTGTGGAGAGAACTGCTAAAGGAGAACAAAGATTTCTTTCAAACCTATTTCCATTCTATATCTCGAAGACCATTCACAAGTAAGCCTCCATAATACAATTAAGTAGTAATTTATAGTTTCTTGCTTGGCTTTAGCTTTTTATGACGTTCTTAATTTGAATTTTCAGGTAGATATAAGGCATCAAGGTTTGGAAGAAGAAACAGATGAAATCATCAAAAAGAAGAATAAGAAAATTTTCCTGAAAAAAAAAAGGTGTCAGCATTAGCAATATAATTATTATTAGGGTTCTTAGATATTTGGTAGTACTTGAGTTATACCCTTAACTTAAAGGGGATATATATGTGTGATGTATATAAAAAGTTTAGGTCAAGAATAAGAGTTGATCGCAAGTTTTATTCGACTAGGCAAAAATATATTTAGATTTCCAAGATTTGACATATTTTCTTCATGGCATATTTGATTTGTTACGAACAATACGGTATAACAGAATAATTGACAAATATTTCACGCATTATTCTTCTTTAATCCTAATCAATCATGTCAAGTTCAGCGACAGAAATGCATTTGCGACTAGCATTCAATAGAATAAAGTTTGAAAACAAATCAAGAGGTTGAACTTAGCACAAACACTGCGTACTTGAAAATGAAAATGACTGAAATTAAACCCTAATATAATGCTCTGAAGAATACACCTCTCCCTTCAATAAAAGGGTGTTTTTGCACCAAGAAAACTGTTTCCTTCTGAGGCCACCTGAAATTAAGTTTATAGCAAAAGAGAACAGTAAAGCAAACTCAAAATTCAGCAGCCCAAGTAAATTAAATTAAAATTTACGCCAAATTAAGCTAAAAGTTAATCAAATTCTACTGTATTTTGACATTCCTTTTATGGTAACATGATAAAAATATTGACATCTGGTAGTTGAAATTGTAGTAAGTGTTGAGCTGTGGAATCAATGTGACATCAATACTATGAAAATAACCTCTCCGGTGCCATCCTATGATTTTGATTTTCTTATATTTCGCTTAAGATTGTTGGAAATAAGAATCAGCACTTGCTTTTATACGTCCCAACTATGCAGACCGAAAATCTATATTCCCACAGTACCAGTAAGACCCTAAATTACATTGCATCTTTGACGATCTAACCCAATAATTGAAGTGAATATAGTATTTTAACATTTCTTGGTTTGATCTAGGCGTAGCAATGAACGAAATTGGGTGATAAAAAAGAATTTATATAGTCGATATTTTGTGAGCTATTAGGGAATAATTACCTCTTTAGCATCTGAGTACTTAGCCATCTTTCTCTCCCCTTCTCCATAGCCATCTCCTCCATTGTATTGTCTTTGTGGGAAATGTGCCCACTAAAATGATTTAACATAGAAAATTTCCGTTGGATTCTCTTCAATATAGAAATTTTTTGGAGATAGTTAAATTCTTTAATCCCTAAAACTTACATTTTTAGCAGCGGTACTAAAAGCTTGCTTGTGAGTCATGCCAGGATATTCAGCCTTGAGTCTTCTGATTTCTTCTCTGATTATCGTAATTTAATGTTATTATACACTTTGTAAGGTGAATATCAGACCGTATGGTATTGGACAGTTTTACATAAGAAAAAAAGTTAAACGCATCTAGTGAAATTTTTACTTGATGAAATAATTATAAGCTGACGGAGCTCGCTGTCTCTTCTCAGGGGCTGTAAAAATATCAAATTAAAAAAAAATCAGATACGTTTCGAAGATTACAAATAAAGAGAATAATTAACGTGTTAAACAAGGTTGGTGAATTCACGTTTATTGATAACTTGATTAATCGGGCTCGAAATATTCTCCTCTTCTTCTTCGGACGAGAAACCGAGTGGTGGATTCTGCATTTTTATTGCTCTCTCATCCTTGTCCAGTTCTTGAGAAGAAACTTCTTGTTTTGGTGGCTGAACCTAAAAATAACAAGAGAAAATACAACATCGTGTATATTATACTATTTAATCATGTCAAATAATGGGCTTCTCATGAGAAACATGATTTACCAGTAAAAGGGTAGTGCAGTGTTCACATTTGACCGTCATCTCCATGGATAAGCTGTTGCATGGAACACTAACCTGAATTTTATTAATTACAAGCTAAAATTAGAACTCGAACTACGTATGAAAATTCAAAGAAACAAAGTTTATGTGAAGAGAAATATGATTTACCAGTAAAATGGTGGTGCAATATCCACATTTCACATAGCAAATTTGCTCTTGGTGATCGTAAAAATAATTGAAGGTTGACATATTTCGTCTAAGAGAAATGAAATCTTTTCTTTGGAGGAAGAGAATGATCAATTGATACGTTTTGACCAATGCAACTGGAAATTTATAGCAGGAGATACCATTAATTATAAATGAATCAATTTAATTTCATTTTAATTTTTATCTGCTGAAATTGAGAAAGACTAGAATCTATAATTTAAACACAATTTCATAGTTTGAAAAGGCTTAATCGAGGTACGTTTTATTTTGTCAGGACAAACTAATAAAATATTTAAAAATTAAAATGAATACAAAGTTTAACGATTGTGCAATCAATCAGTTTTTGACAAAGGTTTTCAATATCTTATTCACAATCAAGTTCATTACTTAGATTGAAATGTTTGATCGTCAAAATGTATTCAAATTTCACTTATAAGGTCAGTTGAAAGAATCCAGGGAGTTCAAAATCAGTGACGCCTCTTTGTTTCAACTGTAGTTTTCTCCCTATTTAATATCTCTCTGTCCCTATTTAATATCTCCCTGTGGAAAGTGAACGTTTTACTTATTTAGGGCTTATAGAACAGTGTCTGAACAAGGAAAGAAGGAATCTTAGGATTTTGTCTTTGATGAAAGTAAGAAATTATAATTGACTTATGCATTCATGCATGACAAATACTTACACTCCATAATTATTTTCTTCCGCATTCTTCTTTCAAATAATTCAGATGTCTTAATGCCCACAACCTACTTGCCTGCAACCAGAGTTCAGTCATCCACATGCCGTCATAATATATACATATGTATGTGTTTATATATGTATATAACTTGATCCCTGCATAACTAAAAGAAATATAGTCTATTGAGATAAATAACTAATAATGTATGTTCAATCGAGTTGAATGCTAGACACTAGAAGTGTTAGGGTTAGGTGGATTTGATCATTGAATAAATTTACTTTACTAGGAAACTCGACTACATCATATAGAGAACTTAACTGCAAGCCAAATAACCTTATTCGTAATGAAAAGATTGAGCTTATTCATTTTGGAAAGAAGCATTTCATTGTACTCCCATCTCCATACAAGTTACGNAACCTTATTCGTAATGAAAAGATTGAGCTTATTCATTTTGGAAAGAAGCATTTCATTGTACTCCCATCTCCATACAAGTTACGATTCACTTTTATTGTATCATGATTTATTTTTGTAACTAATAAAATATGCCATTTAGAGTGATTTATTTTTCTTTAAAAAAGAAGTATATCGAGTAAGAAAAATATAGTTAAAAAGACTAACTATACCCTTGTCTAAATAGATGACTTTGATATGCCGCCAAAATTAATTTGGATCATAATTTACCCTAACCCACCGTCCAATTGGACAAGGGATTGGGCTTATAGTTAAATAAAGTGGAAATTAAGGCAAGACATATTTTTTTAACTTCCCAGTTCAAAAATAAGATTTTAAAGCTTTTTGTTCAAAATTCAGAAGATAATTCATCCTTTAAAATACTAATGATAATATTGTAAAATTAAATTAATTCACACTACTCTATCCTACCCCTACCCCAACTCGTTTTCATCCCAAACCCTAAAGTCACTTTCCATTCTCCTCTTCCTCTCCCTCTCCCTCTCCCTCTTTCCCTCTTCTCACTCTCTACCTGCTACGCACAGCAGTACCTCGCTGCTGCTACTCGAAGTTGCACAGTACCGCCTCGGAGTCCAGTTGTGAATAGCATCGCTGCGTACAGCGAGGGGGCGTTGTTGCTGCCCGAATCGATAGCTTTGCCTCGATACTTTTTTGGATTTTCTTTATTCAGTTGGTGAAGATGTTTTCAGTTGGTGCCATGGTGGATTGTGGTTGGGAAGGTACGTAGATGGTGGGATTAAGAGTGTTTTTGACCAATTAATTGAATATTTTGTGACGAATAAATAATAGGAAAAATTGCAGTCGAGGTATCAAATCTTTCGTTTATTAGCAGGTTTTGCTCAAACTTTTAGTTTGTACCATCCATGATATCAAACATTTCAAAAACTCGAAGTGGAAGTCCAAATGGATGAAAACTGTTAATATGATCGTTAGTTGATCAGAGATTTAACATTGACCATTATTTTGACTAATTTTAAAAAGATAAAATGGTAACTTTACATTTTTCAACAAAAAAATAATTACAATATATTAATAATTAAATCAAAACACAAAAATACTATTTATCTTCTTCTCCATTCACCCCCTACGCACCCACCACACACCACCAAACCATCCACACAAGCAACACCCACATATTCTTTATCTCCTTCAACCCACCCCCTTCTCTCACCTCACCCGACCACATTCAGCAATAACACCACCAACCCTAGTCACACAGTCCACCGACTCTGGCCACACAACGCATTTAGCCACCACACACCACCAAACCATCCACACAAGCACCACCCACATTTGTCTACCCTATTATAGTCCTCCACGCGTAAGTTTAATCAAGAGCCCTAAAGAGAAAAATATCAAATTAGGAGAAGGAGATGAAGATTCGGTGTGCACAATGCTCTGCCCATTTTTCTATTTCAAATCTCATACATGAATACTCATCTTTAGCATCAAGAATCATTGTTGAGTTCAATTTTTTTTTTTTTTTTTTTTCTTTTGCTCAGATCTCCAGAGATGCTGCTGGCTATGGAATGGGAATGGGAGTCGAGTTTTCACAACAGTGTAATTCAGCTCTGGGATTGTCGAATGGGCACCGTAATTGAGCTTTGACGTCATTGGTTGTGAGGATTTTGGGTTTGAGTTCGGAGTGAAGCAGCAAAGAGTGCAGTGAATGGGGAGATGAAATTTTGGATTCTAATGTGATTTTTCGTTTGGGTTCTATTTGGTAGTGAAGATGGTGGCTGTAGATTTGGTGGTGGTGGCAGTCGTCATAGTGATGGTAGGGGACGACGGTGGTGGTTTTAGGTTAGGCGTGAGTTTGAATTAGGATCACTGTAGCCTTATTTTTATTTTTTGATTTAATATTTTAATTCTTTAATGTGAGAAAATTGTATAGTTACAATTTTGCCCTTTTTAATTTGGTCAAAATTGATCAAACTTTGACATTTTTGGTCAACTAACGGTCAAATTAACAGTTTCCATCCATTTGGACTTTCACTGTGAGTTTTTGAAAGGTTTGATATCATGGATGGCACAAACTAAAGGTTTGGGTAAAGTCTGCTAATAAACGAAAGGTTTGGTACCTCGACTGTAATTTTCCCTAAATAATATGTAATTGATAACTAGTGACCAGTAAATAATGCCCCGTTTGGCCCCCATTTTGTGGTAATGAAAATGAGTGGAATAGTATTTTTTTTTAAAAATGAAAGATTGAAAAAGAAAAAAAAATTTCGATTTACGTATAATATTATTTTATAAAAGATTGTGTGGTTGAAAATAAGAGAGAGAAAAATGAAATATAATGAAGTAAAAATTAATTGGGGCCAAACATGGGCAATATGCGATCTAAAAATTTGAGGTGTAATTTATAAAATTTGTGATTTATAAATAAATTGTGACTTAAAATTTTTGGATTTGCAACCGATGAATAAATTGTGATCTATAAAAAAAAAAATTTGACTGTGAAATAATTTGTGACCTACAAAATTTTTTAGTTTTGACTAATTAATCCGATAATTGATGATCAAATAGTAAAAAATTATGATGTTAATATATTTAATTAATAAATATATTTTAATTAATTATTTCAAAAATAAAATTTAATTAATATATGATTTTTGAAATTTCAAACTTCATTTCATAATTTTGAAATAGGTCATATTTAATCTCTTATTTTGAAATTTTCACATAAATAAAACCCAAGATGTACAATCGATTGATGTATCCCAACGAAGTTGCACAATTAAGCCCAAGTTTTTATCAAAATTAGATTTTTTTTCAATAGAGTCTGATAAAGGTTGGTGAAATATTTGATTAAAATGTTGACCAAAAAAATGAATTCCATAAAATGTGGGATTGTAAATAAAATTTTAAAAAATGTGGGCTAGATAGGGGCTGATTTAAAAATAATTTATGTTGTCAATTTCAAATTTGTCTAAACAAGATTTTGTTTTTTGTTAGTGTAATTATATTTTGCGTTCTTTTACATGTACACCAGGTATCGACTCCCTCACAAGAGGGGAGATTCAGGATTTTATTATTCTTCGCGGGTCCCTTTTCTTGTGAGGGGTCAGTACATCGAGATGTCAAACTTGAAGTACAACTAGAAAAATCATTATATTGCCCCCAGGGTACATCTCCAAGTGGTAAAAGGGGAGGGTGGAGAATCCAGCTTTGCTTGAGGCTGCTGCGTCAAGGGTTCGAATCTTGAAATATGGATTTGACTTTTGGGTAAGTGCAAGTGTACAAGCAGCCTTCCACCCTGTACCCTTGGAGGCATAACCTGCGATTTTCCTCCCTCACGATGCTCCAGAACAAGGGTGGTGGGGGACTCTTAAGGTTAGTGTTTAACCTTTAGAAAAATCATTATATTTTTCTATGCATCAAAATCATATTATTCAGGGTAATGGGACAAGTACGTTTTCATCGTGGTTCACCTACGTAATTTTCGTGATTAGTACAGCAGTTTTAGAGAACGTGTTTACATTTTAATATATATTAATATATACGACACCTGGTTTGCTCAAGTAAGTAGTGGCGGAGGCAGTGGAGCCCAGTAGGCTCCCAGGTCTTTTATTATTATTATTTTTTTTAAAGCTCCCATCGCCCCGCCCCTAAAGATTTGTGGGGAAGGTAAATCTCGAGATGTGTCCCAACAGGTCAGGGAATAAGAGTTGCCTATACACTACGCCTACAAGGAGTCCAATTCCATATCTCAAGAATCGAACTCCCACACTACGACTCCCAACAAGGCGTAAGATAATATCACTCATATACTTTACACTACTGGGCAATGCCCCTGAAGGCTCCCAAGTCCCCATTTTTATCTTTACGGTATCTCTAACAATAACGCCATAACACAATTTTTCATCAATATTCACCAAATATATCATTCCAATCCAACGTCAAATTTTGCACCATTTTGCAGTCAAATATGCCATTTCAACCCAACATCAAATTTTGCACTATTTTAATGCAAAATAATGCAAATGAATAGTGTTGCACCAAATATGATTTATCACCCATTGATATCAAGGGTACTTGTATCATTTTACATTATACATAAATTTTAATTTTTAATTAATTAATTATCATCATCATCATTATTATTATTGTTTGTAATAAACTTTAATTGTATAAAAGGATCGACACATTTTTGGGATAAATATGTATTGCGTGATATAATCACTACATGCATTATTATACATAACATGATGATTGAGGACGAACGTGATTTTAATGCACCAGTTCAAGATTGGTTGAAAACGAAAATCAACGATTTCAACAATTCCTTGCTCATCATAGATAAATCAAGGATAAAGATGCTCACATTACACTTTGAAATGTATTAATTGAATATTTGTGGGATGAATATATGAATTTTGATAACTAAACTACGACACTAGATCAACTTCGTCGTACCATAATTTCGGGATTCGAAATGTACTACGTTATTTTTAATAACATGATTTAATATTTTCTTAGTTGTGGTAATTTTATTAATTGTATTACATTTCTAAAATTTATTAAATAATTTAATATTTTCATAGACGAAATGTAATTATATATGTAGTAATTTATGTAATAGTAAATCAAATAAATAAATAATTTTTCAACTATATAAATTGTTAAGAATAAAAGAAATTAAGAAAATGATTAAACGATGTTCATTTGATACAACTTTTAGCCCCCATTTGACCCCCATTATTTGAATTTATAATGGGGAAAATAGTATTTTTTTGAAAAATTGATAGTTGTAAAAGAATGAAACGTTTTCGATTTACGTGTATTATTATTTTATTTAAGATTGTGATTGAAAATAGAAGAGAGAAAAATTTAAATTAAATTGATGAGTTTTAATGGGACCAAACGGGGTATTAATGTAATGGGTTAGAGATAATTTTTAGTTTGATACAAGATTTGATGTAAAATTTGGTGTACGATTGGAGATTGTCTTATTATTATAAAATGTTTTCCATATTTGATTTAAAGTAAGGTCATGGTTGATTGGATTTTGCATGTACGTCAATCACTGGGCCTCAATTATTTTGGCTCTTTAAGAAGAGATATCTATAAAGAGGGTTTTGATATTTGTACAGTCCTAGTAGGAAAATGTCAATTATCGGATTAAAGTCACGTGAACATAGGAAAATTGTAAGAGAAGTGATTAAGATGTATTATGAATCTTTAGTGAAAGTCCCATCAATTTAGAGGGCTGCTTGGAGTACACGACCCCCATCGACACCTCGCAGGGAGGAAGGTGGAATGATTTTTCGGCATTGTTTATTCAAATGGGTCCTCATAGTTGTGAATGCTTTGTACATTTTCAGTGAAACACAAATCTAGACAGAGATTTATTCATGAATTTAATTGCACTTCACATTTTATTTTTTATGTTTTAATTTTTCTTTTTTGGATTATACATAAAATACCTCAAATGGGAAGAGAACAAGAAAATCCCAATTGACACAATATTTTTGAAGAAGACTAAGGCAGCTAAAAAGAATTAACTCGACTTCAAATAGGAAGATAAAAATATCATTTTAAAGGTATTGTTATATGCCATATGTAGATGTCTTTGATTTTCAACAAATCTACTAAACAATGCACGTCTAAAGCAACACTTAAGTTACATAACCTTGAACAATTGAACAAGAAAATAAATGAAAATTGAACATATAACTCTTTTTCGAATTCCACTTAACTCAGTCAATGCTGTATCAAACTTTGATAGTAGCACTTTTCATATACTTACTTCTTCTTTTATCCCTTTATTTTTTTTATTTTTTATTTTTTAGCTTTGCGACATTTTTGACAAATATTGAACTTTGATTTCCTTTTTGCATGCCTTATCCAAAAGTATATAGTTATTTTCTGAAAAAAATTAAAATTGGACTCTCTAGCTTTTTAATTACCCTGATTATTAATCATTAACCTTTAAAAGTGATGATCTATTTAAATATGTGAATATGAATCCCATGTGATGGAAAATTGTCAATGTGGATAACTTAAGTACTGTTCAATGTTAAGTCGGGTTAAAGTTACAATCCAAACATCTGAGCTGACAATTTCTATCACGTAATGATCTAGATTTACATGTTTGAATATATGTATCAACTTCAAGACCACGCTTTCGAAACTTGTAGACTCAAAAAACCTAGTTACATGAAAAGTTGAGAACCTAACTTCAATTTCCCCTTTTTCATATATTTAAAAGACTAAATTGAATATGACCCACCTAAATTTCCTTGCAAGTTTTAAATAATCAATTTTTTTGTCAAGTGAGTAACAAATAACCCACGTAGAGTTTTTCCCACTAAACATATCACGTTTTTATACCTCATAGGTGATAATGTTATTTTTCAAAGTAAATCTAACCAATAAAAATCTTATTTTAAACTTATTTACTCAAAGTACACGTTAAAAGCTTAAACAAACATGCCCTTAAAACAAATATACTATCTTTCACGTATAATAAAACAACTAAAATCAAGTATGATATGTGTGTCTAAAACAAATTAGAACAAAATGCAAGCCAATGCACGAACTTTGGCAGTTTGATTTGCATATTGAACTCAATCGATCAGCAACCTATAAAACACAAGAAAAGAAGAAATGAATAAGTTTATAGATCGAGATACGTAATATCTCAAGCCATTTTATGATAGAGATATCGTCTAAGAGAAATTAATTCTGTCAATACTTTAAGAATCATCCAAAATTTAATTCCTCGTACATTGTCATGGTCATGGTTGGTAGTACTAATGAATTTCACCGACTCAACTGTTGCAATTTAGATCTAGTAGTAGTATGTACTCTAGTGAATTTAACATTTTGAAGAAACAATAATTTAATAATATTTGTATGTTGTATTATGATGATAGATAAATATTTAGCCTATATTTTATACAAATTAAAAATCTAAATTTTTATGATTGACATTATCAACGGAATCCAAAGCTTTTTAACTACAAATTTTATCAACTTTTATAAAAAAAAATCGAAATTTAAAAATAATCCTCCATCATCAGCCACGTATAAATACAGTCAGTTCCCGCCATATCCATTTGCACCAAAAATCGTATCCAGATATTCCATCAAAAAATGGCAGGAACAGAACTTCAAGAAATCTCACATGGAGAACAAGAAGTTGAAATTCATGGAGATGTACTGGAAACAATACTATCATGCGTGCCACTCATCGATTTGGTTCCGGCCTCTAGTGTTTCCAAGTCGTGGTGCTCCGCCGTGGCCTCCTCACTCCGCCGCCTCAAAAAGCCGAAGCCATGGTTGATCCTCCATTCCAATCAGTGGATCAAAATATCCAAGCCGTCTTTGGATTTCATCTCGGTACTCAAATCGTCTCAATCCAATTTCCTTTATATGCTTTCGCATTCAAAGTTTTCATTCTCGTTTGATCCGTTGAATTCGAGATGGTATCACGTGGATCATCCGCTCGTGTGGCGGACGGATCCGATTGTTGCACGTGTGGACGATTCCGTGGTGGTTGCCGGCGGCGTTTGTCAATTTGAGGACGATCCGTTGGCGGTTGAAATGTATGACTTCAATACACGAGCGTGGTGCACGTGCGAGTCCATGCCAGGGAGTTTGAAGGAGTCGGCGGAGTCAGCTTTGCTTTCAATTGCGACTACAAAGGGGAAACTGATTTTTACAGAGAAACAAACCGGTGTGACTCACTGGTTTGACTCGGGAACGAAATCATGGTCCGGGCCGTATAATCTGAATCCGGGTCAACCCCTCGTGAATTATAATATTGCGTCCTTTAATGGCGATTTGATTTTGGTAGGTTTGTGTAAAAACGTTGAACGATTCAAGATTTGGAAAATGGGCACTGAAAATTTTTACTTCGAAGAGATTGGAGAAATGCCCATGGCGTTTGTTGAGAAATTAAAGAGTGAATCTTTTGGATTCTCTTCTATTAATGTTCTTGTGGGGAAGAATTTAGTGTACATGTACAATTCATGGAAGGTGGAGGAGGTAGTGGCTTGTGAACTGATATGCGGTGAAGGCAGCAGCGTTGAAGGTTGCAGGTGGTGGGGCGTAGAAAATGTGGTGGCGCGTGAGGAAATGTTGAAGAATAGGTTGGTTTTCACATGCTCTGAAGTTGGTTTTGATGAGTTGCAGCGAGTCACGAGGACGGACAACTGGAAATTTGAGGTGGTGAGTTCTTGAGAATATGGTAAGTTGACTAGGTGGCTTCGGGTCAAACCAGCAGAACTGTGATGGCATTTTTTTATTTATTATTATTTTTTTAAATCTATCTTAAAGTGCAATAATTACTTTTACAAGATCCAATATTTTTGTACTAAGATAATATTATTTGTACATTTTTCATGTACATAATCGTTGCAATCATGCTACATAATTAAAGTCACTGATAGAATTTCATTTCTCGACAATATTTGACAAATTCTTATATGAAATATGAGAAAAGACTATAAAAATACTCAATAATGTACTTCCATATCAGTTTGTTCTTTTTTCTTGAGATATGGCCCTGGACATCCATAACTTAAAGCGAGGCCATCAATTATTATGTACACGAAAAGTATATCTATAGGATTATGTATAATTAGTGTATTCCTAATTTTTAAATTTCAATATGGACTCACAATAGTACACATGGTATTACTAGTCTACATGTACGTGGGGTATCACTTCAAAAGTAAAAAAGGTTAACGCATGTACGTGAGTCATCACCCTAATGGTTTGAAGAGCAACAAAAAAGATTGAGTGAATTGCCCAAATTGTCACTGAACTTTATAAAAAGTCTTCAAGGTGTCACTGAACTTTAAAAATCACCTAAATGGTCATTGAATTTTGTAAAAGGTTCCTACGGGGTCACTGAATTGCCCAAATGGTCACTAAACTTTGTAAAAAATCTTTAAGGGGTCATTGAAATTTGTAAAAAGTCTTCAAAAGGTCACTGAACTTTGCAAAAGGTTCCTACAGGGTCACTAAATCGTCCAAATGGTCACTGAATTTTGTAAAAAAAATTTCAAGAGGTCACTGTACTTTACAAAAAGTTTCAATGAGGTCACTGAATTCAGTGACTCCTAGGAAACCTTTTGCAAAATTTAGTGACCAGTTAGGTGATTTTTAAAATTCAGTGACCCCATACAAATATTTTACAAAGTTCAATGACCATTTAGGTGATTTTCAAAAGTCAGTAACCCTTTGAAAGCATTTGACAAAGTTCAATGACCATTTTGCCAATTCACTCAAAAAGATGGGATCCCTACTTTAAATGTGGTTAGGCTGGCATGATAGGCTCAAGGCCCACCCAATAAAAAAAAAAAAAAAACACACACACACAAATCGCTCTTTTGTTTTTAAAGGCACAAACACAATCCCGCAAACATGTACGTAAAGTCAAAGCTTGATAGTAAGTAAATGCCCTCATCTATCTACTTTTGCCTGCAAAATATTAAAATTGAACGTTGCCTATTTGTTTGAGTTGTGTGCTGGTAATTAGTTAATTAATTACTATTGAAATGTTGCCTTATCAGTTTAATGAATTATTTTTGTTGTCTTGTCAGCTTAATAAATTATTTTTGGTTGTCGTTAGAGAAATATCAATAATGATTGATTTTTCATTTACTTTTTATTTTATCTTTTTACAATTTTAAGAAATTGAAAATTGAAGGTCAACCTCCTCTCAAAAATAATAAAACTTGTTTTCCATCTTTTGAGAAGGTAGATCGACCTATTAAAAGTACAACTTCTATTGGATTAACTGAAGATCAACTTTTATTATATCGACTTCAAAATTTTAGCATATGCGCCAAAATTTCCTAGATTTTCCCCTACATGTATGTGTAGCAATACCACTATTTTAAAAGGCGCGCATTGGCAGCGCCTAGACGTCACCAATGCATGATACGGGTCGGAAATACACAGTCCAAGTGGCTTGGCGTCTTATTTAGCGATTAACAGCAACCGTCGATCGATAATGCACGCTTAGGTGCGCATAATTAACCTTTTTTTTAAAAAAAGTTCTTCTAAGTTAAAAATTAAATGCTGATTTCTTCACTTCGTCGGTTATAAATACAAAATTGTCGCTTGAAGCCTTGAACAAATGAAATCTTACAAAAATTCATATTTATTTACTATTTAATATTTTTATTTGAAACTTACCTTTTTGTTGAAAACTTTGGGGAAAATGTATAAATTTTCTATAAATTTATTTTAGATGTTTGACAAGTATTATTTTTAATTAATAAATGATCCTGCAAACATGTAGGAAAAGTCAAAGCTTGAATACACCTTGGTAAGTAAATGTCCTCATCTATTTACTTTTGCCGGTAAAATATTGAAATTGATTGTTGTTACCTACTTGTTTGAGTTGGGTTGTTGGTAATTAATTAATTAATTATTGTTGAAATGTTACATTGTCAGCTTATTGAATTATTTTTGTTGACTTGTCGGCCTAATAAATTATTTTTGATTGTCGTTAGAGTAATATCATTAATGATTGATTTTTTCTTTACAATTTTTTTTTTAATTGAAAATTGAAGGTCAACATCCGCTCATGAAGAATAGAACTTGTTTTCCTTCTTTCCAAAGGTAGATCGACCTACTGAAATTACAACTTTTGTTGGACTAACTGAAGATCAACTTTTATTATATCGACATCCAAATTTTAGCCTATGTACCAAAAATTCCTAGATTCACCCCTGCATGTACATGTAGCATTCCCACTGTCTTAAAAGGAGTGCATTGGCGGCACTTAGGCATCGATAATGTGTGCTACACGACAGAAACGCACATGCCAAGTGGCTTAGCGTCTTATTTGGTGGTCAACTGCAATCGTTGACCGATAATACATGCCTAAGTGCGTATAATTATCTTTTTATTTTATTTTTTCAACAATTTTCTAAGTTAAAACTTAAATGTTGATTTCTTCACTTCGTCAGCTATAAATCCAAAATTGTCGCTTGAAGCCTTGAACAAAGGAAGTATCACAAAAATTCATATTTATTTACGATTTAATATTTACATTTGGAACTTACATTTTTGTTGAAAACTTTGGAAAAAATATATAAATTTCCTATAAATTTGTTTTAGATGTTTGGCAGGTATTATTTTTAATTAATAAATGATCCCGCAAACATGTAGGAAAAGTTAAAGCCTGAATACAACTTAGTAAGTAAATGTCCTCATCTATCTACTTTTCTCGGCAAAATATTGAAATTGAATATTGTTGCCTACCTGTTTGAGTTGTGCTGTTGGTAATTAGTTAATTAATTATTGTTTAAGTGTTGCCTTGTCAGTGTAATGAGTTATTTTTGTTGCCTTGTCAGCCTAATGAGTTATTTTTGATTGTCGTTAGAGTAATATCATTAATGATTGATTTTTTTCTTTACTTTTTACGTTTTACAATTTTAAGAAATTGAAAATTGAAGGTAAACCTCCTCTCAAGAATAATATAACTTGTTTTCCTTCTTTCGAAAGGTAGATCAACCTACTGAAAGTACAACTTCTGTTGGACTAACAAAAGATCAACTTTCATTATATCAACTTCCAAATTTTAGCCTAGCGCCAAAATTCCTAGATTCGCCCTTGCATGTACATGTAGCATCGCCAATGCACGATACGCGGTGGAAAAGCACATACCAAGTGGCTTGACGTCTTATTTAGCGGTTAATAGCAATCGTTGACTGATAATATACACTTAGGTGCGCATTATCTTTTTTTTTTTTTTTTTTTTTTTGTGTTTGAAGGCTAAA